TGGAGTTGTAGTTCTCCTACACCCAAAGAGCACTGTGGACTCAAACAATGATGGTTCTGGACCTAACTTGGCATGAGTACTCAATATACCCAAATGTGAACACTGGTGGAGTTTGCGGAAAAATAGACCTTGACATTTGGGATTTGTAGTTGCTGGGATTTATAGTTCACCTACTATCAAAGAGAATTCTGAACTCCACCAATGATAGAATTGGACCAAACTTCCCACACATAATCCCCATGACCAACAGAAAATACTGTGTTTTCTGATGGTCTTTGGTGACCCCTCGTGAACACCCAGGGGTCTCAACCCCCAGGTTGCGAAACGCTGATATAGATCCAGAACTAATGTAGCTTTATTCCACGGCCATGGCTCTATGCTATGGAATCACAGGACTTATAGTTTTACAAGGTCCTTTAGACTTCTTTGTGAAAGAGTGCTTCACAAAAGAACAACTCTCAGGATTCCATAGCACTGAGCCATGTCAATTAAAGTGGAGTCAAACTGCATTAATTCCACAATGTAGATGCACCCTAAGGGGAGAGTTTTCTTTTTGAGATGAAGAAAACAATTCTTCCTGGCTTCTGTCCCAAAGAGTTGAAAGATCTGGCAATTGAATCTCTCTTTGACACAATGGGAAGACATCTTCCGTCCCCATGAAAGGCAACAGACTTGCTTGGGGGTCCCATGTGAGTGTCTCCTCCAATATTTTGCTCCCGCCTCTGCTTCACATCATCGACCGCCTGGAGTGACCACTTTGCTTTCCCTAATGACAGACGCAGCCCTGCTCTATATTGGAAGGCGCTGATGGAGTTGTTACAGCAAAGCCCTTCGTTACGCAGAGAAGCAGATCATACACAGAGACGACTTTTTAGTAGTGCCATTCCCTCCCTCCCACTTTTTTGGACTTTCGTAGATTGGGTTATTCACTGGCTTGATTAAAAATGTTCTAAGAACCTCTAAGTCTGCCAGTGTAATGTTTTGGTCAATTTCTTCCGGTCATGCTGGTGGACGTAGAGATTTCTAGGAATCCAGTTCTGTGAGTTGGGAGGCTGAGATTGTTCTTATATTTGTGCACCTTCAAGTCATTGTTGACTGGGTTATTTTAGAAGATTGCATTTAGAGGAGGTTTGTCTGTGCCTTCCTCTGGGCTTGAGAGTGGTCTCCAAAGCTGTAGCTCAAGTGACTGCACTGCCTTAGCTCTCTTAAGGCTGAGATTTGTTGCTTTGGTGTGTTTTGAAGTCATTTCTGACCTATGGCGAAACTAAAGGTGAACCTCTCGCACTGTTTTCTTGGCAAGAACTGTTCAGAAGATGTTTGCCCTTGCTTTCCACTAAGGCTGAGAGAGTGCAACTTCTCCCAGTTTATAAAATGGGTTTACATGGTTGAGTGAAGAGTTGAAGTCTGGTCTTCCACTCCACCATAATGGTTCTCTTAAGGTGGAGACATGTCGTCTAAATCTATAGTCACAATATTACACGGTGATTGTGTTCATTCCCTCCAACCAGTGGTTCCCAACCTTTTTTTGACCATGGACCACTTTGACCAGGGACCATTTTTACCATGGACCACTTTGACCAGGGACCACTTTGACCGCTTTGACAAGGGACCGCTTTGATCAGGGACCGCTTTGATCAGGGACCACCTTGACCAGGGAACACCTTGACCAGTGAACACCTTGACCAGGGACCACCTTGAACAGGGACCACCTTGCACAGGGACCACTTTGACCAGGGACCACCTTGACCAGGGACCACCTTGACCAGGGACCACCTTGACCAGGGACCACCTTGACCAGGGACCACCTTGAATAAGTAACACTTTGACCAGGGACCACCTTGACCAGGGACCACCTTGAATAAGGACCACCTTGACCAGGGACCACTCTCCAACATTAGTACCAAAAGGGTTACAAATCACTTTCTGGTCAACCTTAGATTTGATTTGGTAATTTGTGGTGCTAATTCAGAAAATTGCATTGGATAGACCACATTAGCTCTAGTTTCTGATACAGAACATATGCCATCCAGTAGTCACCATCAGCTTGCCCTCAGAAAACCACCATATTAATCAGTCTTGGCACTATAAGAGGGTTTTGCAAGACCAGTTGCTCTTGTTGCAATGATGTAGTAACAGTGAGGCTGCGGACCATATATTAGTTCTTGCAGACCACTGGTGGTTCACGGACCACAGGTTGGGAACCACTACCTCCAACATTTCTTATATAAAATCCAGAAGACCTATAGTCAAGATAGTAGAAGTTATGAAAGAGGAAATGCAGACGAACTAGGGGTGTGTCTACACCAGACATGGGCAAACTTTGGCCCTCCAGGTGTTTTGGACTTCAACTTCCACAATTCCTAATAGCCTCAGGTCCTTTCCTGTCCCATCTCAGCTAAGCGGCTGAGGGGGATAAGGAAGGAGTCTGAGGCTGTTAGAAATTGTGGGAGTTGAAGTCCAAAACACCCGGAGAGCCAAAGTTTGCCTGTGGCTGGTCTTCACTCTAGAATGAATGCTTTAGCTGGCATGGCCCATGGCTGTGGAAACCAGGGATTTGTATTTTGGTGACGCACCAGCACTATTATGAAGATAAGATTAAAGATCATGTAAAACCACAACAATTCTATGCCATTGAGCCCTGGCAATGAAAGTGTGCCACACTACATTCATTCTACAGAGTAGATCAAAGCTTTCCAAACATTTCATGTTGATGACACACATTTTAGACATGCATCATTTAAACGGCACGGTAATTCAGTTTTACTAACAAACCACAGATTAAGCAAACAAAGCAAAGTATATGTCTGTATAATAGATACAGACATATACTTAAATTGTAACAATGAAAAATATGGAGACACAACGTATCTCATAAAACCTTCAAAATATCTATCTATTAGGGCTGGGCGGTTTCGTTTTGTTAATTCGTAATTCGTTAAAAATTCGTTATTTTTTTTTAAAATAACGAAGCGATAACGAACCATTCTGGAGCAACTTAAAAACGAAACGAATTTTTAAATTCGTTTCGTAAATGCTTCGGATTCGTTATGTATTCGTTTCGTTATCGGTTTGAAGTCGTTTCGTTATTATTTCCGCATGTCTGGGGCAAGTTTTATAGTTGTTTTTTGTTTAATTAGTGAAAAAAATTATAATATCACACCAACAGTCAACAACAGAGGGAGAGGGAAGCTTCAGAAGTTCCCCCTGTCCCATTTGGAGGTTTTTTAGCGTATTGCGCGGTCGCGTCCGCCATTAACGAATCGATTCATTATTGTTTCGTATTTGTTTTGTTAATGTTTTGTAATTTTTTTTACATTTACAAAATTTCGTAAATATCGAACTTTTTAAAAGAAAAATTTCAGAATTCTTTTAAATATCGAAATGCAAAAAACCCCCAAAAAACGAATCGATTTTAGAAACAAATTTTTCCATTGTTACCCAGGCCTACTATCTATCTATCTATCTATCTATCTATCTATCTATCTATCTATCTATCTATCTATCTATCCATCTCTCATGTCAGGAGTGAACCAAAACAGTTGTATTGCATTAAAAACAAACAAACAAACAAACAAAAAACAAACAAAACACAAAGTTTGCAGGCTTGGTATTCTATTAAATGTCATTTGACTAGTAACTCTCCACACTCATATGTCAAATTTATATATATACACCGTATGATTTTTGGGTCTCCTGGTGGTGCAGCAGGTTAACCCACTGAGCTGCTGAACTTGCTGACTGAAAGGTCGGCGGTTCAAATCTGGTGAGCTGGGTGAGCTCCTGCTGTTAGCCCCAGCTTCTGCCGACCTAGCAGTTTGAAATATATGCAAATGTGAGTAGATCAATAGGTACCGCTTCTGCAGGAAGGTAACAGTGCTCCATGCAGCCATGCTGGCCACATGACCTTGGAGGTGTCTATGGACAATGCTGACTCTTCAGCTTAGATGGGGAGATGAGCACCACCCCCCAGAGTCAGACACAGCTAGACTTAATGTCAGGGGAAACCTTTACCTTTACTTACCATATGATTTAGTGCTCATTTCACATAGATGTAGTAGTGTCTTGGTACATTTGTGTGACGCACTTTCAGACTGCAGTTGGACACGAATGGGTTGCGACACACAGTTTGGAAACTTCTGGTGTAGCTGTGCCTGGACAATTTCAAATTTCAGATTATTTCAGATTTTGGAATCAGGGATGAAGGCTGCTCAACTTGTAGTAAGAAATGCCTTTGTAAGAACCAAGAAGCATGTGACGTTCTCCTTCTTTCCAAATCTCTCTGGAGATGCTCCACATTCTTCGGGGTGTCTGCTTAAATCCGGCTCGACCCGCTCCTTGCCGTTCCAGGTGTCTGAACACAGACGTGGGAGATATTAAACTAATGAAGTGTGAAGGAGAAAAGGAGGAGGTGGTGGCGATGGGGGTCCCTTGCAACAAACAGGCCCCAACACCTGCACAACAAGAGGGGGCACCGCCATGAACCGGCATCTGCTCCAGCCTTTTGCCCCTTTCATAGCCTTCCACTTTTAATATATTTGCAAATGAGCGCGGATCAAGATGAAAATCTCCCAGGAGACAGAGCATGGTTCTCTTTCTTTCCATCAAATATATATATATATACTTTGGGGGCAGGGGAGTGGGGATTGCATGAATGTGGAGGGAGCCAGGAGGATCAAGCTAGGATCAGGCCTGAACTCTCACCATATGCAACTAACCAAAAGCATGCAGGGAGGCTTCAACATGTTGCCGTAATGGGAGCCATACGGCTTGTCTGTTTTCTTTATGGAGAGCAGAGAGATGGAGCAAGGAGGAGGCAAGCTGAGGCTGCAGAAGGTCCACAGACTTCTCCATTGCCTTCCGCAATCCTTTGTTTGGATGAGAGTGACTGCGATTGAATGCGGTTTTCCTGCTTCTTGGACTGGATGGACCTTGAAGTCTCTTCCAATTTTAGGATTCTATGATTGGGTATTCATTTTGTCTTCTTTCCCCCTTATCTTTAGGTTTGCATCTGGAAGAAGTTCCACTGAAAACCAACAAAGGAATTCTCTCTCCACTACCAAGAAGGCGATCTCTCCGTTATCCTTTTCTCTCCGAAAGAGATTCAGGCAGAGGAATCGAGAGGAGACGGCGGAAGATGGCATTGAGACATTGCCTAGTGGCCTTTCTCCTGGCTTTCGTTTTGCAGAACGGGACCTGCAATGGAATCAAATGGCTGTAAGTTATCTTCCTTTTCCTAAATGAAAGACTCGCCAAAGCACCAGTTCTCCAGGGGAGTCTCCTTCTCTGGATGCTTTTAACCTGAGCCTGGATGGTTATCTGTTGGGAGTGCTTTGATTGTGTGTCCCTGCCTAATAGAATGGAGCTGACCCTTGAGGGTCTTTGTATGATCGTATGATATTGCTTAATTGGAGTATCCAACATGCCAATTTGAGTCTTTTTTCAGAGAGGAGAGCATGAATGATGATGATGGTGATGATGATTGTTCTGTCATGTGCTGGGCCTGAACTCCACCAACAATAAAATTGAACCAAACTTGGCACACAATACTCCCACAACCAATGGGAAATACTGGAAGGGCTTGGTGGGCATTGACCTTGAGTTTGGGAGTTGTAGTTCACCTACATCCAGAGAGCACTGTGGACTCAAACAAGGATGGATCTGGACCAAACTTGGCATGAATACTCAATATGCCCAAATGTGAACACTGGTGGAATTTGGGGAAAATAGATAATTGACTTTTGAAATAGGACATGCACCTTATGCCCAGCAGGAAGCCAGGGGCGCCTCGAAAGAGGCCTTTAAGGATTTTCCTGTTGAGATAGTCTTTAGAGTCTTTAATGATGTAACAAATCCAACAGATATTTCTCAAATCTTCAATGGGTCAAACAAATGCTTCAAGGCTTTGAATTTACTGGTGGCTTCCTTAATCTTGTCCACGAGGGGCAGGCAACTGTCTTCATTAACTGTTCCTTTACTTTAGAGGAAAACCCTATTTAACCTCTTCCAGGCTGACTATAACCTAATCCTTACTGATGTGGGTCCTACTACCGGATTCAAACTGTGTCTTGAGTACCAAGTAGACCTACCAGTAAAGGTTTGCAGATTCTCCAGCTGGAGTTCCCTGGGTCTGTAAAGCTGTTTTCTCTCCGGAATTTCTTAGAGACTTTAGGGCTGTTTCCCTCAGGTGCTGTAAGGATGAGAGGCTGTGAGCTCTCTGCCAGAGCATTGGGACTGTTTTCCCCTGGAATGTCCCTGAAATTTTCTGGACTTCAGTTTCCCTGGATGGTCTTGAGAAATGAAGCTTTTGTGCAGGTGAAGCTTGTCCATGTCCTCTAACTTAGTTTTCCTCACTGAGACTAACTAAAAATGGTCCCCTCTTCCCATCTCCCTGGGAGAAGGGGCGGATCCAAACTTAACAATGATAGAGAAGTGGCTTGCCCTATGACTGCAAACCAAAGGAAGTCACCTTTTTGCAGAATCCCTGCATGCAAACAAACACTTAATAGAAAGAAAATAAAGTTGGAGCTCCTGGTTCAGACGTACCAGCACAATGATGATTTCAACACATTTACTATTATTATTTCGACACATCCCCAAAGCCAGTTCCCCATCTGTGTGATGCGGAGCTTAGAGCTGGAGAGGACAAAAAAGATCTAATCCAGTGGTTCTCAACCTTCTTAATGCCGCGACCCCTTAATACAGTTCCCCATGTTGTGGTGACCCCCAACCATAACATTATTTTCATTCCTACTTCATAACTGTAATTTTGCTACTGTTACAAATCATAATGTAAATATCTGATATGCAAGATGTATAGCACTGGACCAAATTTGGCGCAAGTACCTGATACGCTCAAATTTGAATACTGGTGGGGTTGGGGAGTTGATTTTGTCATTTGGGAGTTGTAGTTGCTGGGATTTATAGTTCACCTACAATCAAAGCATTCTGAACTCCACCAATGATGGAATTGAACCAAACTTGGCACACAGAACTCCCATGACCAACAGAAAATACTGGGAAGGGTTTGGTGGGCATTGACCTTGAGTTTGGAGTTGTAGTTCACCTACATCCAGAGAGCACTGTGGACTCAAACAATGATGGATCTGGACCCAACTTGGCATGAATACTCAATATGCCCAAATGTGAACACTGGTGGAGTTTGGGAAAATAGACCTTGACATTTGGGAGTTGTAGTTGCTGGATTTATAGTTCAACTACAATCACAGAGCATTCTGAACCCCACCAAAGATGGAATTGAACCAAACTTGGCACACAGAACTCCCACGACCAACAAGAAATACTGGAAGGGTTTGGTGTGCATTGACCTTGAGTTTTGGAGTTGTAGTTCACCTACGATAGAATTGGGCCAAGCTTCCCACACAGAACCCCCATGACCAACGGAAAACACTGTGCTTTCTGATGGTATTTAGTGACCCCTCTGACACCCCCTTACGACCCCCCCAGGGGTACTGACCCCCAGGTTGAGAAACACTGATCTAATCATTTTAAGGTTTTCGTCTAGATTTAAATCTAACAGCAACATCCTTGTTGTGAATGTATTTCTCCATATCATATTTCAACCTTTACTGCCTAAGCTACAATCCGTACAGTAGTTGGATAGACACTATCTTTTCCAGCCGTGAGCTACTCTTCTTATTACAGGAACCATATTTGGAATGGCGTGAGCTATTAAGACCCATTATTTTTACAAAAGCCCTGCAGAAGGGCTTTATTTCAATTCAGGGTGCATCTGCACTATAGAATGAAGCAATTTTGATACCACTTTAATTGGAGGCTCCTTCTTTGGAAGCTTTTAAACAGAGGCTGGATGGCCATCTGTCAGGGGTGCTTTGAATGCAATATTCCTGTTTCTTGTCAGGTGGTTGGACTGGATGGCCCATGAGGTCTCTTCCAACTCTTTGATTCTATGATTCTATAATGCCATGGCATCCCGGGAGTTGTAATTTTGCCTTCTTTGCCAAAGAGTACTAGTACTTCACCAAACTACAAATCCAAGAGTTCCATAGCATTGAGCCAAGGCTATGAAAGCAGTGTCAAACTGCATTAATTCAACAATGTAGATGCATCAATGGAAAGAAAAGCATTTGATTCTTTCTAAAGCCTTAGCACAAGGTTGGGACTCAGATAGTCCTCTACTTATTTTTTGTGGGACTCCCAAGTCCCATCATCCCTAGGAATGGAATTCATGGTAAAGAATTATTCATGTTCTCTTTCAATGACACCAGAAAGGCTATTCCTGGACTATGGCAAGGAAATAATGAAAAGTGGAAGCAACCGCCTGCTAACTTGGACCTCTCCCCTTTGTTTTAGTTTCAAAAGTTAAGTTTCTAGTCCTCAAGGCTGCAGATGAGAAGTTTGGGGGTGTACTGACACTGTGGAATTAATGCAGTTTGACACCACTTTGACTGCCATGACTCAAGACCATGAAATTACAAGAGTTGTCATTTTACCAAGACCTTTAACAACAACAACAACAACAACAACAACATCTTTGTATTGTCGAAGGCTTTCATGGCCGGAATCACTGGGATGTTGTAGGTTTTTTCGGGCTATATGGCCATGGTCTAGACTCGAGGCATTCTCTCCTGACGCACTGCCGACTCCTTCAACCAGAGAAATCAGCCATAGCAGAGCACCTGAGGAACCAACCTGGACACAGCATTTATTTGAGAACACAGAAATGCTGGACCACTCTCACAACCACCATGTCAGACTACACAGAGAAGCCATTGAAATCCACAAGCATGTGGACAATTTCAACAGAAAGGAGGAAACCATGAAAATGAACAAAATCTGGCTATCAGTATTAAAAAACTCTAAAATTAGAACAGCACAACAACAGAGAGGAAACAAACAAGGACATCTAATCACCTCTCAACAAAAGATTGCTCCAGGCACTGCCAGGCAGTCAAATGCTAATCAAGGTGGTCAGTTGAAACATTCACACCTAGCTCCAGCAGACAAGAGTCCTTTGTCCCACCCTGGTCATTCCACAGATCTATAAACCCTTTTTCCTAGTTCCACAGACCTCACTACCTCTGAGGATGCTTGCCATAGATGCAGGTGAAACGTCAGGAGAGAATGCCTCGCCCATGGCTATACAGCCCGAAAAAACCTACAACAACCCAACAACATGTTTATTTTTCTACCCTGCCTCCATCTCCCCGAAAGGTCTCAGGGCAGCTCGGGGCCATGCCCAGACAAAAAGAGAACAACAAAATATAAAACAGCATAAAAATAACATCATCATAAACATCATAAGGAACAACATCATAAGGAACAACATAGGTACCTTTAGCCTTCTCTGCCCAAGAGTGATGGTGCATTGCCAAACTACAACTCCCATGATCCCATAGCATTGAACCATGGCTGTTAAAGTGGGGTCATACTGCATTAATTCTATGGTGTAAATGTACTTTTGGAAAGTATGGATGGACTATGAGAAATAGATCAAGGAAACTAGAGGAAAGGCTGAATGGGATGTTGCCAAATGGGGAGCCCATGAACATGGAAACTTCTAAAGAATTCAGGGCAGACAAATCAGACGGTTTGGGTTGCAAACCCCCCACTGGCTTTTTGGATGCAAAAACACCAAAGCTTGCCAAAGGAGAAAGAGAAAGAGGGGGAGATCACCCAACTGCATCCAATCGCTCAGATGATTGCTGTGCAAACCAGCAAAGCAAACCTTCAAACGGGCGGCCCATGTGCTTTTGTCATCTGCAGCCTGCCTGTTTAAATACTCTGGCCTGTTTGGATACCATTCACGTTCGTTCTGAACAACCACAGCTTGTAACAGCTGTTGGCCAGCCTTTCTGCTTACTCTCTCTTTAAGATTTCTTATCGGAGAGATGCACAGCAGATGCTGTTCCTTAGATCACTATGGGGTACAATTAGGCTGCTTGGTTTGCGTCCCAGGACCTTTTTATTTACATCCAAGGGAAGCCATGCTATTGTGGCACACTGTCTCTGCAACATTGAGAGGGATCAAGGAGTTTTAGTAGACCACACTGTGCTGTCGCACGCTGGGCCTATGACAATGTCTGTTTACAGGACGTGCTTTCTGTATGCCCAACGGGACGCCGGGGTGCCTCAGCTAAAGGGTCCCATAGATTTCCCAACACAAAGTTCTGTAGAGGCTCAAAATAAGTCCAACAAAGTTCTTTATTAAGGCTTAAATCTTCAAACAAATGAAT